AATCTCGTATAAAAAAGATCCGACAAAATTGCTTTTTAACTCCTCACACCTCGCTTCATTTCTTCTTTTTGATTTTTAGCCATTCGTTAAATTAACTTGTGCACAAAACTCCGAGAAAATGCGCTTTTCTACAGGAAAAGAGTTTTCGAAGGCTGAAAAAAAGCTTATTGAGCTATCTAGAAGGTACTAGCTAGAAGCGGAAGCTAATGTCTCAGCCAGTTTCTAACATGGCTAATTTATGAAATCGCACAATGAGCGGATCTGCATATTTTTAAATGTAATTCTTATATGTTCGTAAAAAAAATCGTATCTCACGCGAATTTGCAGTTGTCGTTCTTCTGATAATAATATGTTCTACACTGATGTTATCCACTCGTAAATTATCAGAATGGTACATTTCAGATACGTTGAGATGCCGGGAGAAAGCCAACGCCTCGTCATCATTTTCCTCCGATAAAAACACTGCAAATCTTCGTTTTTTGTGAATTTCAAACAAATTATATGCATTTCCGGAAGGAATTCTTCCTTTGCTTACCTATGACTTCGCTTGCTGCTGTTGTTTTCACTATCAAGCAAGCAAGAAAACTTCCAAGTGGCAGAAAGTTGCTCAGGCACATTTTCAAAATAGTAGACCAAGATGAAGAAGTGCCAGGGTAATTTCTCGTAACACAAGAACGCCAAAGGCAAGGTAAAGTGGAAATATAGTTGGCAAAGGAGTATACTTAGTATCACATTTCTCTCAGCTGTAATTTGAGTGCGATGTGGAAAGGTAGTTAAACAAACAGAGATATGGATAGGTAACATTTTAACGCTTGCTTTGGCATTTGTAACTTTAAGGCTTTGATTATGAATGTATGTATCATGAAAGTGAACAAAAATGATCCAAGACTTATTAAGTGTAAAATCGTTCTTATGTTAGAGACTGGAGGTGCTGCAGCACAGCTGCAATTTTTTTGTGCCATAAGTGATGCGTTCTTCGTCCTTTCTAATTCTAGCATCCTATCTTGTACTGATAAACTTTATCTTTCTCTTCAAACTTTGAAGTTCTCAATTGATGCAAGTCATAAAACATCAAACCAACAAAAACGGAAGCATTTTCAGAGGTGCTGTTCTCTCAAATTGGATACAATATTTTCTTCTCCTATCAACTACGACTATTAATGTTCTACGTACCATAAATAGTCTTAATGATGTTATGACATTGAAAAAACACTCCAATCTTCATTGCTCATCAATGTGACCATGCAAAGCGTACTAATTGTCCTGCTGAACCGGATTCTGCACTTCGCGGTTGGTTCACGCCCTGAGAGTGGGGTCGACCCTAAAAATCAAGACTAGACTAAAAGTTGAATCATAATTATACCAAAAATTAACTCGAAAGAATTGGACCTGCAATGGTGTAAGGTAACACAGATTTTCTTAATTGACGTAGTACAAAAATCAAATTTTCGTAGTTTTATTTGCGGTGATGGAAACTCAGTCAATGATCAAAATTTTCCTAAACACTTACTCATCACAATCGACCGCGACGGATTGCTATTCCAAAATCGGATTCCATCATACCCCTTCCCTTGCTTTCGCTTTTTCTTGAAATGCCGTGGATTGGATCAGACTAGGACCTAAATTAGCAGATAAAATCAAGATATGCAACCGAAGAACGCCATAGAGTAATGATCTCAGTGATGATTGTGAGCTTACCTTTGTGATCGAGTGGAACAGATGATGAAGTGACGTTCAGGTCAGGATCCGATACCAATGTGTTTGCTTGAGCTAAATTCTAGCGGGTTAACTCTCATTTCTTCACAACACACTTGGGAATTA